AAAAAAGTTTTTTAAAGCTTAGAGCCCTGGAACATATTTTTTAAATCCTCACCCGAGGATATTTTTTGAATTGATTTTTTTCTTGTTTTTTAGACAGAGGAAAGGAGTGGGAGAAAAAAACATTGTTGACTCGTTGCCTTACACGGGGTTCCTGACCTGGGCAGCCTGCAACCGAGGTACCTGCCCTTGACTGGAATTGAACCCAGGACCCTCAGTCTGTGGGTCTACTCTCTATCCACTGAGTCAAATCAGCTAGGGCCTTGGAACATTTAACAGAGCCTGGCCTAGAAGCGACTAACTAGATATTTCCTTTTATTCTATGCCCTACTATTTCCTCCCCACATTAAACAAAAATTTATAGTATAAAGCAACGGTCGCCAACCTTTCAGACCTCACAAACCACCAGTGGTCCATGGACCACCAGTTGGCGACCGCTGGTATAAAGCACATAACATGAGATCTACCCTCTTAGCAATTAAGCATACATTACAGTATCAGGCAGCTAACTCCTCAGTAGGACTGAAGCTCCACAGGGTGGGGTGACAGGTAATCCAGAGGGTGGGGCTATTACTTTCCTCCAGGGGAGTGTGCCACCCAAGAAAGATGGCATCTGTGTTATTAGAGAATGACTCAGCACAGGGTTCCTGGTGGCTCTCTCCCCAGAGCCACAAACCCAGGCTCTCCGTATAGAACTATAGTCCATGCCACCCTCCCTCCCTCTGCCAGAGCCCATGGTTAGTGGTTATGAATGAGATTTTGTGTATTGGCCCTTTAAGAGGGCACCTGTGTCTCTAGCAGACTTCCATCTCCCCCTGGTGGACAGAATCCCTGCTAATGTTTACAGCCAGATATTACATGGGAGCCTCTTCCCAGCTCTTGTGCTCTGGGCTGGGTAGCCTGGCTTGGAGTTGAGACCCCACACTTCTCAGGGGGAACCTTTGCAGCTGAGATCTCTCTCCAGAATCTCAGCTACCAGCCCTTTTCATGTCTCCACTCCCCCTACCAGTCTCAATGTGGCTTCTTCTGTAAATCCTTGGTTATAAGACGTCTCTTCAGCTAGTCTTCAGTTGGTTATTCAGGTAGATTGCTCTATATTTTAGTTGTAATTCCAGTTTGGTCCTGGGAGGAGGTGAGTGTACCATCTACCTACTCTGCCATGACCATCTTGGATCCTCCAGGAGGGAAAAATTTTTAAAAATATGTTTTTATTGATTTTAGAGAGAGAAGACAGGGAGAGAGAGAGAGATAGAAACATTGATGAGAGGGAATCATTGATCGGCTGCCTCCTGCACACCCCCTACTGGGGATTGAGCCCACAACCCCGGCACGTGCCCTGACTGGGAATCAAACCAGTGACCTCTTGATGCATGGGACAATGTTCAATCCACTGAGCCATACTGGCCAGGTGGGAGGGAAATTTTTTTTAAACATTGAAATAAAGATTTAAAAGAAATCCATTTTTGTTTTGCTTACATGGGATTTATGTTTGAAATAAAAAATTCTCATTTCATTTTTATTTTAGGCAAAAATAAATCCACTTTATAATAATTGTTCACTTGTATTAGCTTTTCTTGTCATACAACAAGGATGCTTGCTGCTTCTTTACACTTATTCTTTCAAATACATGAATTCACCCACAATCTTCTTCTCTATAGCTCCCCCTCTGTTGCTTCTACACATGATTCTTTCAATTATTCATCACACATAAAATATCATTGAGGTCCCTATTCTTTCTCTATACCAGCACTTCATTTTCTACAGGCTTTGCAGACAAATGATATTCAGCACTAACTTTAATTATGACATATATAAAAAATGGCCTCTTTAAATGTTTTTTTCCCTTTATTTTTCTTCCAAATTAACAGGCACCTTGGGTGAAAAGTAAAGACAATTTGTACTTGAGGACAAATAAAGACAAGGGGTATAAATTGAGTTGTTGTTTTTTTTTTCTCCAGAAAACCGTTATTTAACTAGCTAGCTGGAAATAATATACTCAGGTTAAGGTAAAAGTAATGCATTGATTTTATGCATGTTGAATATTTTGCTGTTAGGAAATTTATAGGCAAGATATTGCTTTAAAGTTTCTAAAATTACCTTTACCTGTTATTTCATAATCAAAGTGTTTCATATGTATATTCTAATGGTGTTTTAAAATTGTTTCTGATTCTTTAGCATCACCCTGTGATCCCACTTTTATCCTGGGCTGTGCTCCCTGCAATGTGATCTGCTCCATTATCTTCCAGAATCGTTTTGATTATAAAGATAAAGTTTTTCTAAACATAATGGAAAGGTTTAATGAAAATATCAAGATTCTGAGCTCTCCATGGATTCAGGTGAGGCCAAGATTGTTTCTTCACGAGGAATCCTTTATGCTCTTTTCTCCAAGAAGTCCACATCTCTGTGTGTACCAAGCCATGAAGTGAATGGGTGAATGCCATAGTCCTTCCTAGAGCTTAGCATCATGAAGTGCTCATCTGGGAAATTGGGCCAAGCCGTTTAATGATAGACCAGAAAAGAAATGCCCAGAATACAGATCTGGAATTCAACCCCATTGACCCTGTCCAGGATATTCCTGCTAAATTCCAAAGCCCAATTTCCCATAAAGTACTTTGATAACTTCCAGAAACATGCCTATTGTACTAAATGGACTTCTGGGTTCCTCTTGAAAGGATTCCATTATCCACAGGTCTTGTCATCTAGTCAACACTTGGTGACTTCTTCAGTACATTAGTTGACAGAAATATATGTATTTGGGAGGAAGAGAATACCTCCTTCAAGAAGGGAGACTACTTGGGACCACAGATGCCGCTAAGGAACACTATTTGATGCTTTAGTTGGCATCCTAACTGACAAGGTAATTGTTGGGGGATGACAAAATGATTGGTTACATGGTGTATGAACCATACACAAACATCACAAGTTTACCCTGTGCAAGTTGACATGTTCTGTACTCTGCCTAAAAGATAATGATGTGGCCTTAAAGAAGTCACTTAACTGCCCTGTGCACAGTTACTTCATATATAAAATGTTGAGTTGTGTTTCATGGTATCACCAGGACCCTCCCAGTTCTAAGATACTGATTCGTCTGAGGCTACTAGACAGAACTAGAAACAGCAAGGTTACGTTTTGTGCGCTGTATCAGGTTGCTCAAACTCCCTCCCCCTCTGTTGTCATCTACAAAATGTGAATCATAGTATTTCATGCCATCCCATATTTCAAGATTTCAGGGAAGAATTGATGTAAAAAATGAGAGAACTGATATGCACCTGTTTTTATACTATAAGCATGATGTATGCATATAGAAGTGATTATCATCTTTGCTCCTCTGGTCAGAACTTTCTCCCTCAAATACACCTATCAGTGTAGAAAGTTACATATTTGCAAAATAGAAATCCCCCTCAAAACAAAGACCATATTTTATTAATATTTACAGTACAGTTTCTGACTAGGGCTTAGCATATGGTATATGTTTTCATCAAGTGTTTTTTATCGGATAAACTATCCTTTTCTCTTCTAGATCTACAACAATTGCCCTGCTCTCCTGGACTATTTCCCAGGGAGTCAAAACAAAATATTTAAAAATGTTGATTTTATGAAAAGTTATGTTACAGAGAAAACAAAGGAACATCAAGCATCCCTGGACATTCACAATCCTCGGGACTTCATTGATTATTTCCTGATCAAAATGGAGCAGGTAAAGTGTTAACAAGCACTCAGTTATTTGACTGCTTGTGCATCTTGTGGTTCACTGAATATTTTTGTATTTACCAGAGATATTTCAATGGTCAGGCAAGTAATTCTGACAAGCATCTTAAGGAAATAGAGTGTGCATGAATCTACACCAAGCAATATGGAAGATATACTATTAGGTTGTTAAATGAACAGTGAATTGTTAAATAAGTGGACTACATTAATCCTGCTTTTTAGGTACTAATAATTTACCTGAGGAGAGACAGAATGATGCCTGAGGTGAAAACAGAAACAATTACAAACAAATTAGAAAATACAGTATAGCATGCCATGATGTGAACATGGACATGACCTTGCCCACAGTGTATTAGAGAATGGAAAAGCATGGCTTACCTTGCTGGGCTTCCTGCACATCCAGTGGTTGAAAATAAATCTTAATATATTTATAGTGATGGACAGGGGAGAGGATTTTCAGAAGGGTGAGTGGTGTATATAGAGGTGTAGAGGTTGTGGTGAGAAATAGGTGGATGGAAGAGACAAGCCTTCATTGAATGTAAAATAAATGAATTGGCATAGGAATGGAGTTGGAAGTTGGTGTCGGTAGGCATGAATCCTGCACCATTTGTTGAAAAGACTATTTTATAGCACATGAATTGCCTTGGTACCCTCATCAAAAATCAATTGACTGGATTAAAAATGGCAGTGGAGTAAGTGGATGCTACACAGACACACTCCCAGGACCAAACTGGAATTGCAACTAAAATACAAAAAAAAAAAAATCCTGAATAATCAATGGGAGACTAGCTGGAGAGAACGCTGATAACCAAGGACATAAAGTGGAGACCGCCTAGAGACTGGTAGGAAGGATCTGAAACCAAGATTACTATGTCCAACAAGGCTATCATTCAAAATAGATGGACCAAAAAAGGCTAAAGAAATACAGAAATATAATGGCAATAAATAAGTACCTATCAATAATAACCCTAAAGGTAAATGGATTAAATACTCCAATCAAAAGGCATAGGGTAGCTGAATGGATAAAAAAACATGACCCAACTATATGTTATCTACAAGAGACCCACCTCAGAACAAAAGACACACACAGAATGAGAATGAAGGGATGGAAAAAAAATTTTCCATGCAAACGGAAAAGAAAAAAACGCTGGAGTAGCAATACTCATATCCAACAAAATAGACTTTAAAATGAAGGCCATCACAAGAGACAACAAAGGTCACTACATAATACTAAAGGGATTGACCCAACAATAGGCTATAACCCTGGTAAACATATATGCACCCAATATAGGAGCACCTAAATATATTTTTTTAAAAAAACTTCTAGAGGACTTTAACAGAGAGATCGACAACAATACAGTCATAGTAGGGGACTTTAACACCCCACTGACTTCATTGGATAGATCTTCTAGACAAAAACTTAACAAGGAAACAGTGACTACAAAGGACACACTGTATCAGATGGATTTAATTGACATTTATAGAACATTTCACTCCAAAGCTGCAGAATATACATTCTTCTTAAGTGCACATGGATCATTCACAAAGATAGACCACATGTTAGGACACAGAACAAGTCTTTACAAGTTCAAGAAGATTGAAATCATATCAAGGATCTTCTCAGATCACAGTGGAATGAAATTAGAAATCAACTAATGTAAAAACACCCCAAAACATTCAAATACATGGAGGCTAAATAGCATGTTACTAAACAATGAATGGGTTACCAATGAGATCAAAAAAGAAATAAAAAACTTACTGGAAAGGAATGAAAATGAACACACAACAACCCCACATTTTGGGGACACAGCAAAAGCAGTCCTGAGAGGGAAGTTCATAGCATTACAGGCGTACCTCAAAAGACAAGAAAAATTAACAATAAAACATTTAACTCCACAACTTAAAGAACTAGAAAGAGAACAACAAGAAAAGCCCAGAGTAAGTAGAAGGAAGGAAATAATAAAGATTAGAGCATAAATAAATGACATAGAGATTAAAAAAACAATACAAAAAAATCAATGAAACCAAGAGCTGGTTCTTTGAAAGGATAAACAAGATTGATGAACCATTAGCCAGACTCATCAAGAAACAAAGAGAGAGGACCCAAATAAATAAAATCAGAAATGAAAGCAGAGAAATAACCACTGACACCACAGAAATACAAAGGATTGTAAGAAAATACTATGAACAACTATATGCCAACAAGCTGGACAATGTGGATGAAATGGACAAATTCCTAGAAAAATACAATCTCCCAAAATTGAATCAGGAAAAATCAGAAAACCTGAATAGGCCAATAACAACTGATGAAATAGAAGCGGTAATCAAAAAACTCCCACCAAACAAAAGCCCATGTCTAGACAGCTTCACAGGAGAGTTTTACCAAACATTCAAAAAACTATCACCTATACTTCTCAAACTATTCCAAAAAATCTAAGAGGAAGGAACACTTCCAAGCTCTGTTTATGAGGCCAGCATTATCCTAATTCCAAAACCAGGTAAAGACATTACAAAGAAAGAGAATTACAGGCCAATACCCCTGATGAACATAGATGCTAAAATCCTCAACAAAATATTAGCAAATCGGTTCCAGCAATGTATTAAGAAGATCATACACCATGACCAAGTGGGATTCATTCCAGGGATGCAAGGCTGGTATAATAGTTGCTAATCAATAAATGTGATACATCACATAAACAAAATGAAAGACAAAAATTCCATGATCATATCAATAGATGCAGAAAAAGCATTCGACAAAATCCAACACCCATCCTATATAATAAAAGGCTAATATGCAAATTGACTGAATGGCAGAATGACTGGTCGCTATGATGGGCACTGATAACCAGGGGGCAGACGCTCAACGCAGGAGCTGCCCTCTGGTGGTCAGTGCATTCCTATAGCGGGAACGCCACTCAGCCAGAAGCCTGGCTCATGGCTGGCGAGCGAGTGGGTGCAGGCCCGGCTGAAGGTCCTCCCCCCTCCCCCCCCGAATGCATGAATTTCGTGCACTGGGCCTCTAGTTTTTGATAAAAACTCTCAGCAAAGTGGGAATAGAGGGAGCATATCTCAACATGATAAAGGCCATATATAACAAACCTACCGCAAACATCATACTCAATGGGCAAAAACTAAAAGCATTTCCCTTAAGAACAGAAATAAGACAGTGATGTCCACTTTCACCCCTCTTGTTCAACATAGTACTGGAAATCCTAGCCACAGACAAGAAGAAATAAAAGGCATCCAAATGGGAAAGGAGGAAGTAAAACTCTCATTATTTGCAGATGACATGATATTGTACATAGAAAACCCTAAAGACTCCACCAAAAAAACTACTAGATTTAATAAATGATTTTGGCGGCTCTGCAGCATAATTTAAGCCTTGGAGGAGCTGTAGTTGTCACAATCTACAAGATGGGCTTTTCAAAGCTGCCAGAACTGAACACATTGAGGCTGCTCCAATCAGTGCTGCAGTTGAAGGATTTAAGGCAAAGCTTGTCTTTAAGAAAATTGAAAAGAAGCTTGAAGAAGCAGGGGGACAGTTTGTGAAGAAATTGGCGGTATTTTGGCCTTCAAGGTGAAGGATGGCCCTGGGGGTAAAGAAGCCACCTGGGTGGTGGATGTGAAGAATGGCAAAGGATCAGTGCTTCCCAGCTCAGATAAGGAGGCTGACTGCACAGTCACAATGCTGACTCGGACTTGATGGCTTTGATGATGGGTAAAATGAATCCTCAGTCGGCCTTCTTTCAAGGTAAATTGAAAATCACTGGCAACATGAGTCTGGCTATGAAGTTACAAAATCTTCAGCTCCAGCCAGGCAAAGCTAAGCTGTGAAGAACTTCCTGTGCCTACCTTTGAAAATCAAGATGAGATTTACAAATATATATCCATATATTTCACTGTCAGAACTTAGACTGAAACCATGCATTGGCAACTAGCATGAGATTTGTTTTTAAGTGGGTATAACCAAACCTGTTTTCCCTAAGCTCTGGGTGAATAGAGCCCGATGGTGTACTACTGCTTTGCTGAATTGCATACAACTGTGGGTTAAAACATTCATATGGTAATTGTGGTTTTGGGTAAAATTGAGTTCCAGAATAAAATTAGGAACAGCAAAATCCAAAAACTATGTAAACAAAAGCTCTCATTTTGCTTATGAAGTATATTTGAGTATTATTCTGCTGAAGATTCAATTTAAGTTTTCCTTGGGAGAACTAAGGGAGAAACAAAATACCAGAAGCTGGCCAGAAATCAGTGTTATGCACTTAATGACCTTAATCTGTTTTCCATTAATAGTTATTAAAATTCTGTGCTGGAATTAAAACAATTAAAAATTTTTGCATTTTGTGCCATCAGAATGGTATTTTCTTCCAAAATCTAAATAAAAGTAATGTCAGAACTTGAGGAGAAATTTTGTAGCTGAACACAGGCCCATTTTTTAAAATAAAAATATCTTTAGTTTCCTTCTTAAAAAATCAGTGTTAAATTATTTTAATAACAAAATTTGCTTTGATATGCACAGTTTAAAAATTATCTCATATTAATTTAAGTTTATAAAGTTCAATCCTGTTATAATTTTTCTTTTCATATGTTTAGTTTAATAATTATCCACATTTATCTTTCTTCTTAGTTTTTCTAATGCTAATGTTATTTCTTATAACTCAGTAAGATACGGGGTAAAATAATGGAAGAATATTTAATAGAAAATTAAAATTGCTCTTCCTGAAAAAAAATAAAATAAATGAATTTGGCAATATGGCAGGATACAAAATCAACACCTAAAAATCAATGGCTTTTTTATTGACCAACAACGAATTCTCAGAAAGAGAAACTAAACAAACAATCCCATTTACCATTGCAACAAAGAAATTAAGATACTTAGGAATAAACTTAACCAGGGAGGCAAAGGACCTGTACTCAGAAAACTATCCATGATCTATTGATGGACATTTGTGTTGTGTCTGCCTTTGG